TAGGCATCGTAACCGATCGTAAAGGATGTCAAGAACCCAAATCCGCCAATGTTGATTCTTTACTGCGGCTGAAATATTCGTTTTTAGAGCGTTAGTGAATTAAAAAAAAAAGCAGTATAAAAACCGGAATGTCCAACTGATAAGGCTGAAAATTTTTTCACTTGTTATTTACAGTAAGATAAATATATTCACCAACTTTTAATAAAATAAAACCATTCAAACTGGGTGTTCGGATTTATATGTCACTTAGTATACAAGGTGTCTCAATATTCCGTCGACATACAAGTACGATGACACATGATTTGATGATTGAACTTTTTTTTTATGTCTATACAAAAGTGTTTCGTTTGTCCGTCAAAGGACGTGAAAGTTTTCTTTTTAAAACACATTTTTTAAAATAACTTAAGAACCGATACCCCGATTTGAATGAAACTTAAAACGGTTTTCATTTTTTTACTCAAAAAGAAAAACAATTCGAGATCATTTGTTTTAAATTGAACGGGGAATTCAAAAATAATTTTTATTCGGCAAAAAACCATTGGCGTACCATTTTTTCTTAAAAAAATTTCGAAGACAATACCCGTACGCACGGCACTGTTAAAGCTAAAACTTATTTTTGCATTGAAAAATACGCAACTTTTTTAAATTTCACTACGTCCTAAATATCACTAAAATACCTGAAGCGGTTCTGAAAATATTAATTTCCATTTTTTTCCTAAAACACCCCGAGTTTTTGTAAGGAAACATTTTTGGATTATAGTTTTTAAAGCAAACTAACATTAACGTTTAATGTAGATGTAGAAGAAAAAATACATGTTTAAATGTTTCTACTCACAACTTCAAAATATCTCCGTTTCAAAATATTTGCAGGCCAATTAATTTCTCCTGCAATTACTAAAATCAAGAAATTGATTACTGAGATGTCATTGTTACAAAACGAACAAACAGACTGATCAACCAATATTTTTGTAACAGAAACCTCTGGAAATTCGAAATTAAACAGTTTTTTCGACAATTTCATATACGTGTAAAATAAAAAATATTTATTTATATCTACGTAAAATGCGTGTGTACATCTTGCCTTGCCTAACCTCACTTAACAAAAATAGAATTATTCACAATATCGCTAACTATTCCGAGAATTCACACAATAGAAATAATTCTTGTCCATTCTGAAATATTGATTAGTTGGTTAAATTGAATTAGCATTATTCAGTTGGTGGTTTTTTGCTGCCGTCTCATTCAAGGTCAAAAGTGTAATTTTAAGGTATGGCACTGCGAAATTGCGACTGCTCGCCAAAGAGGTCAACGACCCCCGATGTCCTTGTCATACGTCAGCGATAATTTACGGACATTCCACTGTTTATGTCGTGTTTCTAACATTTTTTGAAAGCGTTCATTTCTAGCACACGTTAAAATTCACGCTTGAACTATATTACCGTATGCTGATCGTCACAAAATATCGATTTATTTTTATCGAAGTGTTATAATACAAAAAAAGTAAGAAATTTTATGGATTCCTATAAAGTAAATACATGAAAATTATATAGAAATTACTAAACCGCTTATCTGACAACATAAATACTAAGTGGTCAAAAATGAAATTTAAAAGTACAATTTCAAAAACAAACTTTTATTTCATTGTTCATAAAAATGAATTAAAAACTTAAAAATAATGTTTAAATATTTCCAATCGAAAAAAATATTTTAAAATTTTTAGTTTACTATATTAACAGCTAAAAATTAATTTTAATTAAAAAAGGGTGTATTTTTTATTTTAATTTATTTAATACTCGTCCCAGCATTTGAAGCAATTATTATTTTCTATTTCCACAAAGGACATAATTATGTCTGCCTGATCTGCAGTGGTCCGTGATAATTCCAACCAGAAGATCGAGCGACTCTTATTTTGTTTAATGTTTTCGATTAAGTAACATGACATGGAAGCAGATGCGTATTTTAAAATATTATAACATCTGTACTCTGTACGTGATAAAAAATCATGCATTTCACATTTCGTAAAGCGTTGACGTATATCCTGATGTGTACATTCGAAGTTGAGTCATTTATTTTAACAGTGAGTAGATCTGATCAAAAGAAATGTTTTTTCCTTTACCATTTTTCTGGTAAAATTAAAGTAACAAAGTTATAGCCCTTTGGAAGTTTGAGTACCGCCCTGTCTCAATAATAATATTATGTGCTCGTGTTTGGCAACAACGGATATAAAGCGAAAGAATTTAGAACGATGTTTTTACAATTATTTTATTCAGTTGTATACAGTCAGTGTCAGTCGGTAACGCGTGAGTGAATAGTGGTGTCTGTTGCGTGCCTTTGTTAATGTAGTACAACGTGTTCGTGAATCATTTGACTTAAGACCTCACATATGGACGGCATGCCGGTGCTCCAAGACCGCACGATCAAATACAGGTCCGCCCTGAAATACTTGTCGGGAGGATACTTTATAAAACAAGGTAAATTTTTTTTTTATTTTTACACACATATTTTGGTTTATCTTCCTTCTACAATCGTTATCTGAAAATTAATGACTCAACTTCAAAGTCACCCTGTACATTTGGCAATAACACAGAATTTGGCTCTGTTATTAATAATACCCCGCAATACCAAGCACAATATACCTTCAAAACGGGATCAAATACTATTTTTTTGTTTATTTTTATATGACATCACTTAGTGACAAGCTATGTGACGTCTTCAATATAAATAGTTTACTTTTTGGCAATTGTCGAGTTGTTATCGTATTAAAATATTCTTTGGAGCCATGAAATTAATGTGCTAAATTTTGGAGACTGATAAAGTTGAGATAAGAATCCTTGCATTGATACAACTGGCATCATATGTTTTTTGTTGTCATTACACAAAATCAAAAACTTTCGGGTATTTCTGGTTGGAACCAGATTAGGGCACTTTAAGATAACCGAACAGTCATTCTGGTGTCGGAAGAATAAGAACTGGATTTGAATGTCTTTTATTTTCATTTTGAGCTGGTTACCGATGAATAAATACCCTGTCAAACAATTGAGAGCTAGCATTAAAAAATTTGTGAAATATTTCTAGGCAAAACCTTGCATTTTACCAAAAAAAAATTACTGAATGCTTTCATACATCAAATCCAGACAGAATGTGCCCGTCAGAGTTCAAAAATATTCCTGGTTTGATATTTAGTATCATCGCACGATATTTACTTGTCATTAATATTGTTTGATAAAAACTTTTAAATACAGACATCGGTTACGAAACGAGAGTGGTGTTTGTGATGCTCCGAAGCATTGGCGTAGATTACATTTTTTTTAGAATTCACGTTAAAAACATTAACAAAGCAGATAAACAGGATATCGAGGATCGAACGAAAAATAAACGTCATATGAAGTCGAGTACGTACTCGATTGTAAACGAGACAAATCAGTTACAGAGTTGTGCAATTAAAAATTGTAAACTGCTCTCGTTTTGCAATATATAAGTGAAGTCGATATCATTTTATTATTTTTTAAATTTGATAGTGAAGGGTCGGTAAGGATATAGAAAAGACCAAAGCAGTTAAACTTTATATATAAATAGTGTATATGTTTATAGTAGTATTTATATTTTTCACGGGTGGCATCAAACAATGGTTCTGCTTTATAGGTTACCCAGGTATTTTTGGAATTTAATGTTATTGCAGAATTACGAAATTCCAATCATTAACCGATCAAAATTGCATATTTCAAACGCTCGTAACGTTTCAAGGTCGAATTTTTATGTTGGCATTTTTATGCTATGCGCTTATCGAAGTACCTACGAATAATTCGGAATCAAATCGTGTTCGATTCGTATCATGTTTTTACGCACGGTAATGGCATTGATGTGTTTCAAGCATTAAAAAACGCTAGTCTTTAACAAATTGTATTAAATATCTTTTCTAATAACTTCACAATCTAAAGAAGTACAAAGTATACGCAAGTTATGAAGATTAGGTAACGTTTCAAATTCCTAGTTGTCTGACGTTTTCGTCTGGGGAGATTAAAATAAAAGAGGTAAGGAAATATCAGTCCAGGTGAAAACAAAAATTAGTACTTGGCATAAACGCTAGACATTAATGAGAGATAGTGTTTATTGTTTTTCGAAAATAAACATACCCTAGTAAAATTAAAATTTAGAGAAGACATTTATAAAATTCCTTCTAAGAAATAATGAATGAAATATAATAAAGTTTACATGTAGATCCAAATAAAATACGACTTGCAGCTTAACTTTTACAAGAATCATTCATATGCTACAAAAATTTGGTTGAAAATAATACATGCACAGCCAATAGCGCAAGTGTTTTATCATAACATGGTTTCAACTAATTCTAAATATATTCTCTTTTCATTTATTTGTATACTTTTGACAATTCTTGAGTATCCATGGAAATGATGCTTTGATGAATATTTAGACGTACCTACCAAGTATAAACAAGTAACGAGCTGTCAATCTTGTCTATATTTTCTCGTATCAAGTGTTACGTTCAAAAATATCAAACTTTGAATGCCGCAGGTTATGAAGAATATAAAAAGAATTATGTATTATTATAGTATGAAATTATACATGTTTCATAAACAGCCGGTATGTTGTACTTACAAGTAAAATGTATTTATTACACGAGAAAATGTTTCTATTGGAAACAAAAATAGATATTTTGTGAAGATGCGAGTGTTTGGAAATTATATTATAGTTTTATAATTTGGAATTAAATGACGATCTTGTGATACTTGTTACGACGAACTAGGGATGTTACAGAAACGAAGATATGGGAACGGAAATCGGAGGAAAAGGATGAAGAATGATGTGTTAATAGAAATCACATGTCATTTAATAAAATTAGCGACTCCAAAAGCTTGGTGGACATAACGAACAAAAGCTGAGCAACTGCTCAATATCTAGGTTACAAGGTTTTCTTTAAGCTAGAATATTTGATAGGCATTCCTGGAGCCTTCTTGATCTATAATATTGAGGTATATGTTTTAGGTACTTACCTTCCAACCAGCGGAACTGTTGCTGTCCCCTTTATCCTTGAAATAGGGCACGTTCTGCACCATCCACTCGTAAATCTGCGACAGTGTCAGTCTTTTATCTGGCGACGTGGTGATCGCTTGCGTAATTAAGTCCGCGTAACTGAGATTGCCCCAGGCGTTCCTTCTGCTGGAGTTCTTCTTGGCGGTGGACGTTTGCGGGGCGGGTGGCGGACACTTGTTGCCCCCCGTCGCCGCCACGGCGGAGCCCTCTTCGCTCCCGGGAGGATCCACGTAATTCTCCGGCCTGGGCAATGGCCACGTGTTCGAGCGGGCCCGCGTCAGGGGCTCGAAACCTTCGGCGCCGGGACCCCCGCCGCCGCCGGGGCATTCCCCGTGCTCGGACACCGGTTCCATCATGTTGATCTTCGGGTGCCACGCGCCGTACATGCTCACCACAACCACTTGTTCGAAACTGCGTAGTAGCCAAAAAAGAAACGGAACACCCTCACTAAGGATCACTCACGACGACGCGGCGGTCGACCTCCTATCCGTAGAGGAGGCGGCGCAAGGGAGGCATGCTGAAGGTGTCTTCAGAAAGGTAGAAGAAAACGTAACGACAGACAGACGGACAGAGAGATAGAGAGGGCGACGTCGACACGTCTCCCGCGACTGTCAGAAGCGGTCTGAGCGTGTTCCAAGTCCGCGCGTTCTCGTTCGGTGCGTTGGAGGACGGACCCGAGTGCGCGTGCGCCGAGAAACAAACGCGAAACGACGCCGCCGGCCGCTACGATAGGCGCCCGGCCTGCTTGATTAGTGTGTGCCAACGACGCCGTGTACTCCAGGTTACACGTGATCCTACCTGATGATGGATAATTATTATTATGATTGTTATATTACGGGAGAGGAAATAAAGGATTTGATAATACGAAAAGAGTGTCATTTCGATGTTGCAATTAAAATATTGTGCACCCGATTTTGAATTATTTGAAATAAAATATGTATGCTTCATTTTGTTTTCGTTTTAGGTTTTTAATATGACGAAAGTGATATCTATCCAAGAATAGAAAAATACTTGGATCAAAATATGGCGTTAAGTAAGTTGACTCTGCAGTTCCTTCGCAACGTTGTGATAAAGGATTGTGTTCGGCACAAGTTGGCTCATTTGAAAAAAAAGTTAGCTGCGAACATGTATACAAAAACGGATCAAGTTAGTTAAACAGGCTCTTACGGTGAAAAAACAGAAACGACAGATTTAGAACCTCGAAAAACGACTCATATTTTGATTCTAAAACAAAAAACAAGCAAGGTGTTGTTTAATATACAGGGTGTTCAAAAAACAGACGGGTGATTCCTTGTTAAAAAATAGTTTCTATAAACATGGGTCCGGAAAAGTTTTCAAGATACATGCAATAAAACAGCTTTTTTTCTCGAAAACGAAATGAGATACGAAAAAAATACAAGAGGCAAAGATGTTGTATTTTTAGATGCTTAATCAAACAACAAATATTAAACTTACGAAAAAGGTAGTGACGTACATTTTTCTGCCAATAATGTTCGCTAAAGTGCCCCCTAGGAAGCCACGGCACCTAATAATTTTAATCTATTTATATCAACAAATAATATTGGCAATTTTCAATTCATTACCCTTTATAGAAACTTGTTTCATATTTTTTAGCAAGGTGTCACCCAATGTTATTTAAATAACATTAGAAAGTCTTTCGTATTTCAAGGAATCATCTTCTACAATATCTCCGTCTATTTTTCGAGCACCCTGTATATTGAACTAGAGAACCGTAGATAAACAATTTAGGCTCGGAACAAAACAAACAAGTAGTTTAACTAGATCTATTTGAAAGGAGTGAGCAAATTGTCGTTTTGATGGATTTTCTTTTTCATAGCGCAATTGTAATGAATGTGTCCCGCAAAGTTCGGTATTGGGCCCACCTTGGTGTTTGTGACACATTAATAACATTTTCTTCGACACGATAAATCCGATCCATAGTTTTGAGGATGAGGATAGCTTAGTGGCAGATCTTCAGTGATGTGTTCAAGAGAAGGAGCCCGGTGACGATCTAGCTTGTGACAAAAGACGTGGAGATTATCACTGTTGTAGCATATTAAATAATAAAAAAAAGTCAAAGATGTATTCCATTAATTTCTACAAATAAGTCTGCTCCTATAGCATGGGTAGTCATTCACAATTAGCGATGATATACGATAATTCAGCACCCATAATGGTAATTAGTCAAAGAGAAAGATGGGCATTGGGAGAGAAAGCGTGAACAGAAGAGAGGAAAGGGGTGCGGAAACAAGGGAGTGAGGGGGATGTCTCCCATTAGCGCGTCCTCGTATACCTAATCCATGAAATAGTGGCGCTCCGGTCAGACGGCTCTTCGCTCTTTCGCACTTTGCCAATACGATAATTCACGAATGATTGAGAGCGAGAGACTGATTCTCATACCGCTAACGAATCGTATAGGCCAGTGATCAAACTCTGAAGAAACTGCTATGTTTTACATTGCAGTTACACGTATTAAATGGAGTTCCATTCCAAGGTCTCACTGGCGGATTCATATCGTAACGAAAACACCGTTTTTACTATATGAAGTCCAATTTATTACTCTGACCTTAATTTATAGTAGCACTTGCAAATAATTTATTTCAAATTTCTATGCATATTGACTGTACTATTGCATCTTGCGCCGTTGTTGACTTATCAACGACTATCTATTCTGCGCCTATTCATTTCAAACCGACCAATCCACAGACACAGAGGCTTTCATCGAAGTTTGCTAGATGACGTCCGATGTTTCTCGACCGCTTCCCGATGTGTAGCGAACGCTCTCGAATGCAGATGCGCTTTGTACACGGTCACGTAATTCTGGTTGCCTAAGCGTCGATGTTCCGAGGGCGTCTCATATCGTTGCTTCCAATTACGAGCACGTTACAATATAAGTTATGGAATCCTGTCGGTAACATAACTATGTGGTACAAGCCCATTATTCCAACAAATTAAATTGTATGGCAAGCAAGCCCATTAAGAAATATTTGCTTTTTACTTCTTTTTTTCGATACAGCTCTGTTATTTTTCCTATAAAGATTAGAATTATATCGAGGCACAGACAGATTTTGTTCAATACTTGTAACCACTCTTCGTTCCTGCAATAAAGTCTGTTATTTTTTTACCATACGACGTGTGCATTCTTCATATTATATTCATACAAAGTTCTAAAGGGGTCTCAGCACACTATTCGGACTCACTTTTACTAATTATTTTTCCGTGACTCTCCTGTTTTAATCTGTGAGATGCTCATTTTTCTCATTGTTTATGGACGTTTCGCAATGCAATGCCCCCCTTCTAGACGCTCGGGTGTTCCAATAAATCGCATGTTTGGTGTATCCCGTCTCCCTCTCTGTATTTGTGATAAAAACATACGTTTTAAACATACGACTTTCTTCCGCTCTTTAGTAGCCAACACTTGCTTTCAGGAGGGCTTCTTCAGCTAAGAGTACCTCCCTGTTGTTCAATGTTCAAATATATTCGTAAACTATTCATGATTTACCAGTGTTTCTTTCCAAAATACTCAATTTTTACTAATTTCTCCCAACATATTTTCCTCGCTTTTTTCGATGCTGTGGCTTGTGGCTGAGATATCACATAAAACATAATACCATCATAAAAAAGTTCTGCAAATTTAATAATTTGCACGTACTTGCAATAAGAATACAAATACTTGCAGCAAAAATTCGTAAAAAAAACGCTTTCCACAATCTTATATACATACATATACAGGGTGGCGCATCGAAAACGAAACAGACGCATTTACTGGCAACTCAGTTTTTTTTCTTTGGAAAAACGCTCAGACCCGTCGATTTTGTTTTCGAGGGAGACACAAGTTTGGCAAAAAAACACGTTTACACGTGCAGCCCCCTGGGCGGGGGTGACACCAACCCTAAAATCTTAAATGGAAAGGGGGGTCGAGTGATACCTTATTTTAAAGGTCTTTCGATTCCTTTATAATGATGTTAAATACATGAGCTTCAAACCATGGGCGTAGTGAAGAAAAGCATTTACTTATTATGAACATTCTTTTAGTCAAATTTCTTCTGAAAGTAGTACAAACTAATCTGATGTACCTATTAAAGTCGACTTTAAGCTTTAAATCAATAAATCTTCAAAACTATTGAACTGAAGTACATTAATTTTATATCATTATAAAGGGAATTGAAAGACCTTTAAAATAAGGTATCACTCGACCCCTCTTTCCATTTAAGATTTTGGGGGTGGTGTCACCCCTGCCCAGGGGGCTGCACGTGTTAAGGTGATTTTTTGACAAACTTGTGTCCCCCTCGAAAACAAAATCGACGGGTCTGAGCGTTTTACCAAAAAAAAAAAAACTGAGCTGTAAATGCGTCTGTTTCGTTTTCGATGCGCCACCCTGTATAACCAATAGCTAATCAAAAATCCAACATTTCTTCGTAAGTTTTTCCGATTTAGTTTCAAGGCTAGGTTGAGTGTTTATCATTCATTATTCTCATGTGGCTTAACAGAACATTTATACGATGGAATTCTACGAGTAGTAAAAGATGGACGGTTGATCGAAGCAGGTGAAAAAAGCAATGAGATTGAGATGATTATTTGTGTACTGTGCGAAATCTCGTGTGACTGCACTGTAAGAGAGGGCTGTACGTATAGCAGCTTACGCGTCGCGACGCTATGCCACGTTCGGCGGACGAGCGTGAGGGCGTCGGGCATCAGGCGTCAAACGAACCCTAGTACTGATTTAGTGGCGCTTCTATTCAATTTACGGCCCAATTTGTGTCTAGTCGACGAAAGAAAAAACCCGCTGGAACAATGAAGAGACGGGGGTGGCCAGAAACCCAAAAAATTCCGATATCCTTGATGCCAACAGCATCTGAAAGTGCTGCGTACTTTCAAAAAAATAATAGCTTCTAAATAGTACTGTTCTTTAGACAAAAAATTTTTTATAACAATTCACTACAATACAGTGCATTGGATTTATTATTAGTATTGATACTTGAGAAATGAATCAAATCCTATCTTGGTGACAGAAATATATAATATTGATAATAATAATTTTCGGTTCAATAGAGAATAGAGAGACTATATCAAAATATTACAGCTGGGCTGCTTGATTTAACTATAACGGCACGTTCACCAAAATATCGTCAAAATTCAATTTATGTTGAAAGCAGTTGCGGTACACAGCATTTTGGTAGTAGAAGCATTCACCAAAAAAAAAACAAATTTCTATGTAAATATTTGTATCAATATCTTTATAATGAACTTTATTAAATTTACCGCTCACAACTGTTTAATATACCTACATATTTTTTGGATACAATTAAATAAAATCAATAACTGCTATCACTACCACTACTATCTAGTACCTAATATAGGTTTTGTTCGTCCGACCGTAGATGGTCAACCATGGACAGCTGATCCGTGCTATTTGGCAACTCGTCAGCATGGTGTAAACTTGGTCTCGGTGGACATCGAACCAAACGCTGAGCAACTCTGATTGAGAGTATGAGCTTTAAATAAGACAGCACAACTGCCATCTATTGCCAGAATCGACCATAGCTAAAGAAAAATCGGCAAGTCTGTCTGTTGGAACTAAACTTCCCATTATCAGCCGGGTCACCACTGTGGCCGCTAGATGCCGCCGATTATGGTGCTTCTGGTATAAGATAAAAAGTATTTTTTTCAATGTAGCAGTAGACACTTGTAGGACGTTTATTCCAGGTGTCAGAAGCGTCCTTAGACTATTGGTTGTTGTGATATCGTCGAACAGAGACAAAAGGGTTCCTTTTGATTTCAAGTTCGACATCTCAGCTGAATAATACCAAGGCTTTATGAAAAGCAAATTCAAGCTGCATCAACAAGCTATCCATACCATTGCTCAGTTGGAATAAAAAAATGCATTTTTTTCTCATGCTTTTTTTACTCAAAATTGCGTGGAACATGTAGTTTTAAAATTGTTTGCGAAAAGATCGTATCACTAGAATCTTGGAGCTTCAAGGTACGACTTTTTATAAAATTTCGATACGGCCATTTCTCACCGAGATACAGCATTTTGAAAAATTGACAATTTAATTTTTTCCATTGTGTACTATATTAATACCAAACCAAATTGTACGTCGATCTCCGACATTTTTCGAACGAAACTGTTTAACACCCACCGATAGTTGCACGAATTGATAGTGAAAGAACAATAAATTCGAACAACAGCAGTATCAGTTAATGGGAAATAGGAAGGAACGAAGTTGAACTCCCACTATTCGTCTTCATTTGAGCAGCTTCTGTTACTGTTTGTTCTCTGCCAATTCCCCTCCTAAGTACTCTGGATTTTGAATTACTTTCCAAGAAACTTTAGACTTTCTGCATACTGCATAGGCGTGTACGAAATAAAAAAAGTCCACACCACAAGGTCATTTATCGTATTTGGAGACAAAATAAGACATATAACATTTTTTTAAATAATTGTCTGTTTTTTATTATGTTTTTTAACAGACCTTCGGAACGTATTGTAAAGACATCTTTTCGTTTTTGTAACATACGTCGTCTTTACATAGTCTTTAAGATGTCGTACATCGGTCACAAGACGTCTTCACGACGTCTCTAATATCTCAAAGTGACGTTTTGAAAACGTCTTCAAAATATAGTTGTGCTATTTGTGTATCAATGAGTCATAATTGTCACATTATAGATGCTAAATGTTAATCTACTTGACTCCTTTTATAAGCTTACTTTTTGATATAGTAATTAGTGTAAAATCTGGACACAATTTTCTTTATTTATCTCGTACCTACTTAACGCTGCAAGAAAACACCGAAATGGAATGGAGCCCGTTTCCCTCTCGATTGAAACGTCGGCCGAGACTTGAAACAGTGTGTGAATCCACCACTTGACTCTCTGTTAATCTTGCTCCTTAGCCGAGGGTTGCGAGTTCAGGGGTTACTTCTACCTCCTTATACGGTACTTTCGCTAATTGCCGCGTCAATTAGGAAGAATATTTATTGTTTTTAGTAGGGCATATATCTAAATCGAATAAAAGGGAGAAGCTCTCGTTTTCTGCTATTTTGCCGCTCTTGCTGGGTATTCGCTCTAAATAAGGATGTCACGGTGTGTTTTTAGGGATAAGTGAATGATGAATCAAAGTCGAAAAATCTCAATTGTACTCTAGATAATATGTATACTGAAATTTGTTTCAAACGTGTATTATGCATGGATTATTTCGGCTCTGCAATTATCCACACATCAAGCGTTTTTCTGTCTGTGGCTGCAATAATGGAATCCTGATTTAACCAAATAGTATAGGTATGAGTAGAGGTAGTAGCATAGATTTCGTAGAACGTGATTAGATAATTTATTTATGTTCCTGGAAATCATTAATTCGTCAAATAGTGTGTGTGGCGCCATCTGCTAACGATTACTAGAGTAGCATGGATTTTACTTAGCGTGTTTCAGTAGCCTCCTATTATCTAAGCTAGTCGCTAGTAGATGGCGCTCCATTTAGGGAATACGGTAGATAAGTGACATTTCTAGTTGATAAGTTGACGTTGACATGTTTGTTAATCACGTCAAAATAGCACAAAAGAGAAATGCATTTTTGATATATCATAATTTATTATTTGTTGCCGCGTTCAGTTAATTTTGAAGAGTTTGGCTGTCGGAAATGGCGGTTCCGGAGAAAGAAGAAGTATTCAAAGAATTTCTCACAGAGGTCAGTAACCACTACAAAAGATTCATCAAAGTCGTGTTATCGCTTTTTGTACACATTGGAACTTAAAGAGCAGATGTATCATGTGTGTGTTTTTATGACGATGTAGCGATGCTAATAGAGCAGTTACCAATTTGAAATTTGCTATTTTTATATCTAAAATAAAGCGGTGTCTTGAATCATTTGTTTTATCCAACTTGCGAACTGCGGCTACTCTTATTCTGTGGTCAACTTTACATTTTTATTACATTCTAATATTGTTCCGAGAACAAGGCTTCAAGCAAACAATTTTATATTTGCATTTAGGTGAAAGAAATTGAGAAAAGAGACTCTGTTCTCACTCCGAAACAGCAGATTGAACGACTCTTAAGGCCAGGTGCCACTTATCGCAACCTGAACCCGTTTGAGGTACTACAAGTTGAGCCAGAAACACCGTTAGAGGAAATCAAGAAGAAATACAGGTAACCAAAGATATTCATATTCATTAAATAGTATTTAACCTTGTCAGTAAGAAGAATGTTTATTTTCAGATAATAATATTTAAGTATTCCAAATATAGAATGAAATATGTACAAATGTAGAACTAAAATCATAGCTAAATTAAATGATTCATGTATTCAAAAATACTGTGTGTTCCAGCTGAATTGAAACCAGTTCAATGTGTTATTAAAATTTTCCTGTTTAATCACTTGCTTTTAAATGAGTAGCTAGTTTATTGTACATGTGTCTTTCAGTTACTGTCAGTCTATGCTGAGGTATCAAAACATTCAGAGCCTTTGTCTTGTATGTAAACACAAATGATAATAAAAAAATCTATTTTTGTCTATCTATCTAGATTAGGTTGATAGATGTCTGTAATGAGATTCCCAAAATTAAAATGACTGTGGTGATTAAAAATCATTTTGTCTGTTATTAGATATTCTCATGTTCCTTGGTGCGACATGTGTGTAACTTTTGATAAAATAAGAATGTTTTAATTTTCTAGAAGGTTGTCCATCTTGGTGCATCCCGACAAAAACCAGGATGATGCCGAAAGAGCCCAGCAAGCGTTTGAGGCTGTTAACAAAGCATGGAAGGCATTGGAGAACGAAGATTCCAGGAAAAAGTGCATGGAGATCATAGAAGAGGCAGTAGGAAGAACTGAAATAATGGTATGCAAGATGCAAAACTTTATGTCTCTTGATAGGCATTTTTCCAGCTACAGTGAAATTGACTTTAAATCTTACACTTCTTTTAGTGATTTGCTCATTTTGGTTACCTACTAATAATAAACTATTAGAAACAAATGGATGCACTGAGTACTACACTCTTTCACTGACTGACACACTGCAAGGGAGATTGTTACCTTCGAAAGGATGGTATGGGCGATCAATTCGTTGGCTCCATGTCCATGTCTGGATGGTGTATTTCCGGCCATGTTACAGCATGGACAGGATTCGGTTGTTCCTAACCTGTTGAAAGTGTAGGGCACAGCGCTAAGGAGGGACACTTCTGCTTATCCTTGGATAGAGCCAACCTAAGGTTGCTGGTGGGACTGTTGTCTGGCCATAACACATTAAGGCGCCACCTGCACGTGATGGGGGTGGCTGAGGCTCCCTTGTGTGAGTGCTGCCGGGTAAAGGAAGAGACCTCAGTGTACGTTCTGTGTCGCTGTGAGGCTCTTAGCTACTACAGGCAGACTATACTGAGATCCATCACTTTGGACCCCCAGGACGTTCAGTAGGTTGGACTTAAGGCCATACTCAACTTTGCTAGAAAGGCGAGGTTTAAGAAATGGAGAAGGCCCGTCTGAGTGGCCAATACCGCTGGCTCCTTATGGTGTCTGGTATCCCTCTAATTTCATGTTTCATTCATTCATTCAGTCACTACACTGTTTTCAAAAAATTCTCAGATTCGAATACCAAGTAGCAGCTACTTCATGGAGTGGTTTCCTCTGTGTTATTTTTCTCTTCTTAAAATTGATTTGCTTTTCAACAGAATTGACCCACCTCAGTTGTGCAGCTTAGGCGATTTTTTTGTGAGTAAGCCGTCACAGATTAGTGCAATTACAATATTTTTATAAGTTTGATTTTTTAACTTTATCAACAGTTTTGCAAAAGCTAGACATATCTTTTTACTGTGGAATTCAGCAGCAACGTTCAGTTCAAATTAAAACTATAAACATACATTTTTGTTGCTGACAAGTTGCGCAATTTTTAAAATTGCCTAGTAGAATCGGTGCTGTTGTTGTGACCACTGAAATGAAATGTTATATGGGCTTGTCCAAAACGGATGCAGGAAAGTAAACGCATATTAAAACAAGAAAGATTGATATTCAAATCAAGTTGGGTACTTTATTTTGAAGGTTCATTTATACCATTTATGTATGAAAAATAATATCGCTCAAATGTTCACCACGACTAGATTTACAGACGTCCACGCGATAGTCGAAATTTTCAATGACATTTTGCAACATGGTCGGTTCTATGGCATTTATCTCGGCAATGATGTTGTTTTTGAGATCTTGGAGGGTGGCTAGTTTGTTGACGTAGACTTTGCTTTTCAAATATCCCCATAAAAAGAAGTCCAAGGGATTCAAATCGCACGATCTTGGTGGCCATGGCACATTTCCTCTGCGCGAAATCACGCGATCACCGAAGAAGGACTGCAATCGATGGATATTGACGTTAGTTGTGTGGCATGTTGCACCGTCTTGTTGGAAATAAACATCGCCCATATCCATTCCTTCACGTTGCGGCAAAAAATAGTCCTCTATCATCACGAGATATCGCTCAGAATTGACGGTAACGGCGTCCCCGGCCGCATTTTCGAAAAAGTAAGGTCCGATGATGCGTTTTGACCATAATGCACACCACACAGTCACGTTTTGAGGATGCATCGGCTGCTCTTGATACTCACGGGGATTTTCGTTCGCCCAGATGTGGCAGTTTTGCTTGTTTACCGTCCCATTCAAAGTGAAATGCGCTTCGTCGCTGAACATGATTTTTGATGAAAAATTCGCATCAATTTTGCGGTGTTCAAGGAGCCAATCTGAGAACGTTCGGCGCGAAAAATGGTCGGCCCGACGCAGCTCTTGCGTCAATTGGATCCTGTAAACGTGTTTTTTATTTTTGCACCATTTTTGTAGTGCTCTTGAATAACTTTAATGCGGTCTTCAATCGAATACGACTCCATAGCGATCAATGGTAAACATTCAACTAACAAAAACTGGACTTCTCACGTTCAGTAAATCATCTGCCAGGGATGAGTCGCTCTTGGTTCGTTGCAATAGCGGACCAATACCAGAGATGACCGATATAAAGTTTCTGGGCATTTACCTGGATTCGAGTCTGAATTGGGATTGTCAAACATTTGTTTTGGTTGGTAAGCTCCACAGCTTCTGTGCGTTGGTGCGGCGGCTGCGAAATGAGGTTTCCTTGAACACTTTACGGCAATTTTATTATTCATCTGTACAGTCATTGTTAACTTATAGTATAATGTTCTGGGGCTCTTCGCGGGGTGCCATGTCAGTTTTTATAGCGCAAAAGCGCATCCTGAGGTGCATTTTGAGACTTCATCCTCGAACATCATGTCGGGAACATTTTTCAAGATTGGGATTCTTGACGGTTCCATCACTATATTTTTTGGCACTTGTTTTATTTGATAAAAAGCATATGTATCTTTTTAATAGTAACGCACATTATTATGCTAAAAGTATGACCGTTGTGACCAGAGGCAGAGAAAATCTGAGTGTGCCTGCACATTCGTCCGCATTTTTTAAGAGGGCTCCATTATACAGGGTGACTTCGAAGTTGAGTCATTTATTTTAACAGTGAGTAGATCTGATCAAAAGAAATTTTTTTTTCCTTTACCATTTTTCTGGTAAAATTAAAGTAACAAAGTTATAGCCCTTTGGAAGTTTGAGTACCGCCCTGTCTCAATAATGATATTATGTTCTCGTGTTTGGCAACAACAGATATAATCCGCCTTATCCGTTCATCGCATCGGAAACAAAAAAGCGAAAGAATTTGGAACGATCTTTTTATAATTATTTTCTTCAGTTGTATACAGTCAGTATCAGTCGGTAGTCGGTAACGCGTAAGTGAATAATCGTGTCTGTTGCGAGGCTCAAATCAAAAATGGCACATGTTTACGAAAATGCTGAACTTGTGGACATGGTTCTTATTTACGGGGAGTCTTTACAAAATGCTGCCGCGGCATCACGCGGATCGGTTTCCCAATCGAGTGCAACCAACCCCTCGTGCCTTTGTTAATGTAGTGCAAAGAGCTCGTGAATCAGGTGACTTAAGACCTCACAGAGGAGATCATGCCGGTGCTCCAAGACCACACGATCAAATAGAACTAGAAGAACAAATTTTAGAATTAGTAAGTGATGATCCAACAGTAAGCACCCGACAAATTTCAACTCAATTGGCGATTAGTCAGTATAAAACTTGGAAAACTCTACGTGAAAATCAGTTCTATCCGTTTCACATACAAAAAGTGCAGGCCTTACAACCGGAAGATCATGAACAAAGGGTTGACTTTTGCAATTGGCTTTTAAATAAACATCAAAATGATGACAATTTTTTAAATCAAATTTTAGTGAGTGATGAAGCCCTCTTTACTAGAAACGGAATTATTAATTCACGTAATTCTCACGTTTGGGCTATTGAAAATCCCTATGAAATAAGGGAAACCAATTTTCAACAGCGATTTGAACCAATCAACCTGTGGGAGGGAATTGTTAATGGAATTTTAGTGGGGCCTTTTGAATTACCAAATCGCTTAACTGGTGAAAATTATTTTGATTTCTTGCAACACAATTTGCCTGGTTTACTGGAAGATGTGCCTTTAAATATTAGACAAAACATGTGGTTTTACAAGATGGGGCACCACCCCATTATGCAAGAAATGTGCGTGAATTTTTAAATAGACAATTTAATAATCGTTGGATCGGCCGTGGCGGTTTTGTACCTTGGCCGCCAAGGTCTCCGGACTTAAATCCTTTAGACTTTTGTTTGTGGGGTTGGCTAAAAACTCTAGTGTATAAAACACCGGTTAATACACGCGAAGAATTACGTGCTCGAATTGAGGAAATGAGTACAGTGATCAGAAATCAACCAGTGATTTTATTGCGTGCTTGTAAAGAGACATGGCTAAGACGCGCCCAGCTGTGCGTCGAGCAAAACGGAAATCATTTCGAACAGTTTTTGTGACATGCTTTTGGGCGCACAGGTCCGCACTGAAATACTTGTCGGGAGGATACTTTATAAAACAAGGTAACATTTTTTTTTTATTTTTACACACATATTTTGGTTTATCTTCCTTCTACAATCATTATCTGAAAATTAATGACTCAACTTCAAAGTCACCCTGTACATGGCTGTCAAAACTTTCAATATGCTTCCTATAGATATAAAATCCGAGAGCAAGCCTATTAGGTTTAAAAGAGCGGTGAAAAAGTTTTTGCTGGACAGATGTTTGTACAGCTTTGATTTTAACATTTGAGCTCCATTATTTTATTTTAATAACATTTTAAGCTAAGTTGTGACATACTGGACTTTTATTTGTCATTTTAATAGTTGTTAATATTGTAAACATACATATAATATCCCGTTGGTATTGTACTACATTTTTTTTTTGACGTTGCTTATGTTTTTTCTTTAAAATTTTGCTGGCAATAAAGAATATTATTATTATTATTATTATTATTAAAATGACATGTCGGTGACAGAAAACAAAGATGGCGTCTATGTCAAATTGACGTTCACTTTCCTGCGTCCCTATTGGACAACCCTTTATATTTCTGAGCCTGCTTTCGGAATATATTACAAAAGAAACAGTACTGCTGGATTTTGTGACAGCAGCAACTCAGATTTGGGAATGACTAAACCTAAATTATCGCTTTGTAGATATTCCTGTTACTTTGCATTGCGTTATTTTATTTCGTTTTGTGGATTTATTTTTGAAAGAGAAAAGAGCCAGTAAAAAATTCAAGAAAAAACGTTGTACTAATGTAGAAATACCTTAAATATAAAATCTTAAATCAGGCAAATAATTGAGACAAAAAAAATATTTTGAGACCCTGGTTATTCAGTAAGAATTTTTGTAAAGAACTTAAGATTCTCAGTCTTTCAGTCTCGAGGTAGCTTCATTGGAGTTAATAATTTTCCGTCAAAATGAAAATCATCGAAACATGAAATAATAGAATGATACGTTTTAGATTCAAGAGAAACGCAAGAAGGCGAAGAAAGATGGTCGGTCGACAGCGGTGCCCGAGGACGATCCGGTCGAGTTCAAACGTGCCGTGAAAGTGTTGACGATGAAACTGTTCGCTGATACGGAGCGGAAAAGGCGGGAATTGGCCGACAGAGATCAGGAGGAGAGGAAACGGAAGAGGGAGGCGGAAATCGAGGAGGAAGAGCGGGCCAAGGCGCAAAAAGAATGGCAGAAGAACTTTGAGGTACATGTTTATATGAGTTCCTTGAGCATGAAACGGTGATGGGGTTTTTTATTATTGGATTTCTATTATACACACATAAGGTTTTTGAACATATGGAAATTGAGTCACAGTCGATTTCTCTAAAAATTCAGCACAATATATTTATTGTTTTCCCGAATGGAACCAAAGCAATCCTTTATGAACTTAATTAAACTTCTTTTCAGGAATCCAGAGAGAATAGAGTGAACAGTTGGCAGAATTTCCAGACGAAATCAAAAGAGAAAAAGTCCAGCAAAAAGATCAAAACATTCAGACCGCCTAAAAATAAGCCAGAGTCCAGATAGACGCTATTTCAAGTGATATTTTGGTTTTGAGTGGAATACGAGTGACTATCAGATTTTCTTGTGGATACTTCGCAATTTTAGATTTATTTATAGGTACAAATAATGTAAGCTAGATATGAAAATGAGAATTTTCAAGTATATTTGAAATAATGACGCTGTTGGAACGATAGTGTGTTCTGGTTACACATTTCTCAATCTCTCTAAATCTCATAAGCACGTTTTTCGCAAGTTTTTAGAAAAAGATACAATTGGCAATTTGTACATGCCGATATTTAATGAGGTGACTCTTGGATACATTTTGAGAAAAAAACATCATATGAACGTATGTCCTAAACGTATCAACCTTTGAGATACATGGCGGTAAAGTTTTCAGAGAAAAATATGTATTTTATAATAACCGATGAAATTTGGTACACATCTAAAAAATTCATGAAGATATTTGCAATATATCACAGTTATTTAAAATACAGATTTTTTTCTATACGTTCATATGAATTTTTGTCTCAAAATGGGTCCACGAATCGCCTCCTTAAATATATGCCATTAAAGAACACCCTGTACATTTTAATTATTCGTTTCGTCGGTGTTGTACAAGATAATAAAAATTAAAAAAATACCATACACATTGGATATTTTGGAACATTTTGGTTTTTACCGTACTTTTACTGCCGATTAAATGTTCCAAAATACGAGATAAGGTGGTTTATCATCCATATTCGTTTATATTTATATACAGAAGAGTCGAAAGTGTTACAAGTCTGTAGAGTCTTAGATTTATATTAGCTGTGTTGATTTTCTCGAGAACAATTCTGGACAATCTTTTATTTTATATAGATTTTTGTGTATATATTAGTATACAATAAACACATGTTCTGTAATTTGTTTTTTTTTATAAAAATAATAGACTGCAAAGAACAAGAAATATTTTCAACTAAATGAATTTAATGAAAACCTAGCAAAACAGCATGAAAATTTATGAGGGACTAACGAGTTCCGATAAAATTTTGAATTAGTAATACGGCACTCGACCGTACGTCATCGCGGATTTAGATGAAAATTGTATCAAAATAAAGAATAATGTCGAACAAGCATATTTGGTTATTAAGATCCTAAATTAAATATTTAAGCATTGTAAAATTGACGTGATTATATTATAATGTTCACCGACATTTCAACCAAAACAATGATACTATAGATATTTCAGCATAGAATAAAAGCAATGTACAACTTCATAGTATTGTATATTGAAAACTATAGACTACAACTGCCAACTAAAAAATATGTAAATTGTAATTAGGAAGTTTCCTATAGTTGAAAATACTGCCTGTGCTACTTGCGTCTGATAGTGTAACTAGTATCTTTGACAAATCTAAAAGAATTATTCCAATAAAAAATGTTTATATTGAGCTGATATGTTAGTATTTGTACACCTAGGTACAATAAAATATTTGTAAGTTGAAGGTTTGACCCACTTTTTACTCATTGTTAATGATAGGGAGAAGCGTGTAAGGCGCGGCCCACCAAATAATAAACTTCTGACTACCGTAACATTGTTATTTTTCGAGATATTAAAAGTTTCAGCGCTGTACTTCATTTTACTTAGACTATCATTTTGGGTGTCTTTTGAAAAATAGGAAACTTCCTCATTGGTACCACAAGAATCCCAAATGTCTTCAACAGTTTATTGTTCACGGTTCATCAAAATTGCAACGAAATTATAATACTTGTATAATTAATAAGAAAAATTAGCTTCTCGTTTTACCGAGCTGCGGATCTTTTAGATGATAGTTTAAATTAAAATAATTGATATAACGTAAGCCCAAAAGACTAATCCGCTTCAACAATATTAACACTAGGAAGGTTCCACTTGTATTTCTCCATAAGAATCTGATACATTTCCGGCGACGTTTTATGCAAAGTGGTGAAGAATTCGATGTCGTCGTCCGCGAGTTCGCTTTTGCAGTCCATGTTCAAACACAGCACCGTAAAGAAAGTGGGCGGCAGCCGCTCCCTCAAGAAATTTACGGCGGTGGTCACGTCCATTTTGTTCGGTTCTTGCTGTTTCAACATTCGCTTGATTTCGGCGATGTCCTTACTGTGCTGCTTCAGCTGACGAAGGTAATCCTAGAATAACGTCGGTGGTACAACTTCGTCGCAAAATACATTAGAAATTAACGCAAGGACGTTTAAACGCCGAAAAAAGATTTTTATACAGGATGGCCCAACGAAAAGGTCGCACCGCCTAGTATATTTCGGGAAAAACGCATCTGCACGTCAATTCTCATTTCTAGGGGACGTCTTTTTATCTATAGCCGTACAATACAGGGTGATCCAAAAATAAGATATTACGTTACGCTTTAGATTTTTAAATGGAACCCCCCCAAAATGGGGGTATTGCAAGAGCTACCGCCAGGTTGTTTAATGCGTTTTGAACCGAGTCTTTAACCGATAAAAAAGTCATTTTCAAGGTTTTTGAGTCGTCAAATTGTTTATAACTTGAAAACGATCAACAGTTCAATTAATCAATCATAAATTACGAACCTTTTCACTGTCTCTCTGCCTTTTCGATGGCGGTGATGGTGACTCTACAGAGGGAACAGGTAGTGATTTGAGACCTGCCTGTTTCTGCGACTGTCTAATGATCGGTTTCATCTCATCCTCTTGATATTCTTCCATCTGCTGATATTCCAAATGCTCCTCTTGATCTTGGTTCTCAGTTTCACATGATTCTTGCTTTATGAGCACGCACTCTTGCTGGCTCACTGGAATGCAAAGTACGATAAAATAAACCGCGATTTTAATGTCATCGCATTACGTGAAAAATTGTAGCAGAAGTTGTTTTGAAGATGCGGAAAGTATAGAGTCAAAATATCTAGCACCATTTCTTTCTAATTATTATGCTCATAAGTAAACCGCGATTTTAATGTCAACGCATTACATGAAAAATTGTAGCAGAAGTTGTTTTGAAGATGCGGAAAGTATAGAGTCAATATATCTAGCACGATTTCTTTCTAATTATTATGCTCATAAGTTTACAAAATTACATACTCGCAGTTTGATCCATTGGCAGATGGCCAAACACGCCCGATGCGGGACTGACAACTTGATTTAGAGTGATGGGCTCTGCTTGTCTCTTCATTGAACTGCCAGTTAATGGAGCTGTAGACAAAAGGCCGGGTTGACGTCGGTAGGTTTGTCTGACTACAGTTTGAGATTTTACCAAGTCTCCATTTCTGTATGTGTAAGACTCCACTTTGTTGCGGTGATCTAGCAGTGGGTTCGTATCTGTGAACAGAGAGTTGATACTGATAGCTATAATATAAAGAAGGATTTGTTCAAAACATTTCACATATCATTTCTCTTAGCTTGCTTGCTTTTTTAGAGAACTCTTTAATACCACAGACAAAATACCATAAGAAAATAGATGATTGAATATAATAAATTATATACAGATATAAAAGATCAGAAAACTTTGACAAAATCGAGGAATCACAATTATAGCTTACCCAACATTTACAGTAATGGACAAAAGTATATCGACGAATATAAATATTTACCTTGTTTTTACATTATCTGCAATGAACACAATACAAGTCTGAATATAAGCACTTTTTATGAGGGAAAAAAATATGTAGACAAATTCTTTTCAACATTAGTTTAGTACAGTTTCATGTCAGAAGAGGATTAGTTTGTGTTCATCAAGAATTCTGGAATAAGTTGAGTAATTTTAAGACCATACCACGTGGTCCAGAAAGTTCTTTCGATGTGAAAACTAAGATCATTGAGTTATACAAAGATGGTTAACGTCAACTTGACACTGCCAAAAATTTGAAGCTGAAGCGGGCAATATTGAACAAATATAAGCAAACAGGTATCTTGGAAGCCTCTAAGAGAAGTGGTCGGCCTAGAAAACTACATGCTAGATCAGTTAGATTAATAAAAGTAATTTCGTCCAAGATCTGTTTAAAACTTCAAGACAAATGAAAGCCGAAATCGAGACAAAAGGAATTGTCAGTGTTTCTACTAAAACTATAAGTAAAAGAGTAAATTATTTAAAGTTATTTGCACGTCGCCCAAGTAAGAAGCCGCTAATCTCGAGGAACAACCGTAAGGACCGATTACACTTTGCACGGTTGCATATTGATTTGAGCATCTGTGACTGGAAGAGGGTATGTTTCAGCGAAGAATCCAAGTTCAATATGTTTGGATCGGATGGTGTTCATTACGCTAGACGTCCTAGTGGACAAAGATTGTACACTTTGCCCACTGTCAAACATGGAGGCGGGTCTGTTATGGTTTGGGGGTGCTTTTTGGGGTTTGGGATTGGACCTTTACATAGAATAGATGGCATTATGGATAAGTTTGTTACCCTATATGGAAGACATAATGCCCTTAAGATCAATCTTCCAGCAAGATAATGACCCGAAGCACACTTCAAATCTTGCAAAGAAATTCTTTCTGAATGGAAAAATACCAGTTCTCAAATGGCCCTCACAGTCTCCCGATATAAACCCCATTGAAAATCTATGGGAATACTTAGATAAGCAATGAACTTTTTGCCGCTTTAGAGCAAAAGTGGAGACAGATGGATGAATCTTATATCAAGAAACTTCTACAATCTATGCCGAGATGATGCCAGGCGGTGATTGATCATAATAGTGATGCTACAAAATATTAACACAAACATGGTTGGTTTTCTATAATTCAATGAACTTTGCTTCTTTTTTCTATAATTGTTTTGCTTTATCTATATATTTTTGTCCTTCATAGTTCCAGTTTTGTTCAATTAATTTTTTATTGAAGGGAATATAATGAATTTATTCATGTATAAGTGAGTATTATGCTGTAACCAGGTTGGTGTATTAATAAAACAAGTTATAAAAGAAATACAGCAAAATTCTGTCTATATACTTTTGTCCATTACTGTGTATGGCTTAAACTTACTAATTCTAAGTTGTCTACAATTATTCTGTTCAGGTAGCCAAAATATATCTTTGTACTACTACTAGACTTCCATTAAAGCTTCTGATGTTCTAAGATTAATATTGACATCACCCACTGAATCAGACTATAAAAACTGTGTCACTGACAAATATAACATTTTTAAAGTACTTTTTGCGTTAAACTGTGTCATATGATTCCTAAAAGATTGAAGTTTTGAACAACCCTGAAAGATTTTTGATGATGATAATTATGGAAAAATCCAAGAGAGTTAGTGGTATATATCTTAAAGTATTCATATTTTTTATTGCTTATTAATGAAAATTAAACTTATTAAAATGCCTGATGCTTTAATTCTGGGAAACTTTTGAACACAAGTGAGCACTTGAAAAAGTCAATTTTCCATTTTGCATCATGAAACAATACATAGACTTATATGTTCAACTTTCTTGAATAATCTGAAATCGGTTGTAGGTGAACCTAGGTGCTTCTTTGTCTGCTAGGCATCGGTAAGAAACATTGACAATTTGATAAATACATTTTTTATCCCAAGAATCTGAGGAAACTGGATGCATATTTTTTCAACAAAAAGATTGTCATTGCAATATAAGTGTTGTGCATGTAATTTCATCTTTATACTATCTATATAAACAGCAATTTAAAATATTTAACATACATTTTAAGGACACTGTCAGTCATAGAAACGAAAAGGATTGAATCAACTGTTCTTGAAGGAAACAAGAAAACTCTTGAACAAATAGTTTTGTGCAAAGAGGATACTTTTGCATAAATATGAAACTAAAGCAATACAGGACACCAGTACTGTTTTAGGAATAACGCATTCAAATACCCATGGTTCAAATCCCAGACATGTTTTTGCACTGAATGTGTATTACATGGTGTTAAATAAAAGGTAACCCAGAATACCTATCCACCTTTAATGGAGCATTTTCAGCCAAAAATGCATGAAAAGGCATCTTGATTTGATTGGAATTTGTAGTATGTTTGTATGTTTTCAACATAGTACAAAATATGACACTTATTTCATCAACCAAGTATGCTTGTTTAATTGTTACAATAAGCCACACTGTTGTGCTAAACAAAAATAGTTCTGTATCCTATATTACTCAGTGGTTATTCAATCAATATTTTAGTTTATTATTAAGAATACTCACCCAAAATGAATACACTATTATCATCACTAACTGGTACTAAGTTGATGTTATCGTTTCTGTAGCTTCTCTGCAGTATCTCGTTTTCACTTTCTATGGTTTCATCAACATACTCTGTGGTCTCTGGTATGTACACCTGTTCATTGATACTGTTTACGTCCAACGTCGGAACAGCGCCTTGAAGCAACCGCTTTTTTTGCGGATTTGGAAACCATTTGTCCATAAAGTGGTTCTGGCATATTACTTTATTTCTCAACTGTTCCTCCTCTGTAAAATATCAAGAAAACGCAGTTAAAACTGGGGAAAAATATGTTTTTAACACTCACCAAGATTGAAGAACTCTGGTTTGCAAGCGTTTTCAATCCATATTTTGCAGCGTTGTTTTTGTTTTACGGGATAATGGAAAAATGTGATATTTTCTGTATTCTTGGTAGAATTTGCACAATTTTTATAAGAACATCTACAGCCACCCATTACTACAAAATCAAAGATTCAATAAAAGAAAAGAACTTTGTTGTTTACAACTGAAAACTCGGGAATGATGCTTACTTTAGTTCTGCAGTTATATACTGCTACGAGACGATCCCACCTTAGAATATATTATCAGATTTGCTTAATTATAAAACACTGTGTTGATTGCTAGCACAATTTTTGCTTTTGTAAATAAAATAGAGCAATTTTCAAAACGCCAAATGGAAAATTCAGAAGAATAATGACATTGATGCTAATGCCAATGGCGGACGTTGACATTTGACACTTGTGATGAGATTGCCTATTTTGATTCGGTGAGAATTAACCAAATCTATTTTTTGATTTGGTGAGTTTCTACTTTTACATCACCATATATTTAGCGCCATCTGTACGCACAGAATTGAAGCTAGCACATAACGGAGTAAGAATCTTTACAATGAATATCATGAAACGAAATTAACTTCAATTATCATCACTAGGCTGTTATGAATTTTTATAAATAACGCGAAGCAAATTTCCAAATACGAAATGCAAATCACATTGATGCTAAATTAGCAATTGTCATAGCAATGCAGAAACTGTTTAGGAGCCCCTTTTAGGACTAAGAGGGTGAGAAGATCCGTGGCAGAGCGGAATTTAGGCCTATGTACTATTATAGTTCCTGAAATAAAGTAAACATATTCCTGCCATAATGGTTATATGCATCGTTTAATATACTCGGTTTAATTCCGGGTATTTTTTCCTTTCATTTCTACTGAAACTCACAGTTTTTTATCAGTAATATCTGACATCTGATTCACATTTCTGATTTTTAAAACGTCATTCAATATAATAACAATTCATCTTTTTAAGATTACTTTCTTCTCCGACTAAATATAAAATTACAGTCGGTTAACTTTTCAAAAAAATCTAATTTACATTTGGTTCAAAATCAATTCATTATTTTTCATTATCCCATCAGTATGACGTTCGGTAGTAAAATGCACTACTTTCTGTTATACTTTTGAGTAAGAGATGGCACCATATGTAGTATTTCCTTGTTTTAATCCCTGATCAGTTATAATTGAATGCTATTCGATATTCGCCATGCAGTTTAACTAAATAGTCTCTTGTAAACTAATTTCGAAAACGCTTAGGACTTGTGAAAACTAGCCAGCAATTTACCAGTTTCCTTCAGCTACTTTTTGTCAAATTGTTTTTTTCTTCTGAAATATGCTAACAGATGTCGCTAAGTGGATAATTTTTATTAGCAGGTATAGCAGAATGTTCACGTTCAAAACAATTTTTTTTCTTCTTTTTCAATGACATGATTAGCATAAAAATTGTTAGATTTGCTATGTGCATTCAGTTTTTTAACTGTAATTTTGGCAGACGCCTTTGGTGTCTAATAAATTTTGTTAGGCATGGAAGATTACAAGTTTGATGGTACGATATAATAAAATGGAAAATACATCATAAATGCAATTGTCTTAATTTTATGATTATTTTTTTGTTTCAAATGTAATTGTTCCAAGCTCCGATTACCATAAATTCAGCTCTGTCTATAAGCATAAAGAATGAAGAGTAATTAGCTTAGATAACTGTCGGTAGATGGCGACACCAGTATGTTTTGGAATTTTCTTCGGCTTAAATTATATCGACTAACCTTTTCTACTTTCTGTTATCTTGGTAGCGACTTCGAATATTTCGCACATTCCGACTATTTCGAATCCGTTCGTTATCTTTATTATCAAATCGACTCGAAGTTACTGTTTGCGCGTAACTTCTTGAATTTTACGGAAAAGAAGGGTAATTTGGAACAATCGTTATAATCTCTATGAGTTGCGGCTGGCCCAAAACTTTTGTCTTAACAGAAAAAAGCAGTAGTATCCACCACGTCGCCTTCTAACCCTTACACCGACGTAATCGCCTTGAGTGGTGCAGACAACGGTCACTCTGGGATCAGGAATGGAACAGTATTGTCTTTAGTGACGAGTCTCGATTTTGTTTAGGCATGCACGATGGTCGTGCCAGGGTTAGAAGGCGACGTGGTAAAAGGAGGAATCCACAGTTTTTTGTTGAAAGACATGTTCATCACACTGTTGGAGTTATGGTTTGGGGTGCTATAGCTTATGGTTCTAGGTCACCCTTAATCTTCATCAGAGGTAACATGAACGCGCAGCGTTATATCCACGAAGTTCTAGAACCCCATCTTTTACCCTATCTTGACACCCTGGCAGATCCAACTTTCCAACAAGATAATGCCCGACCACATGTTGCAAGAGTCACAATAGACTTCTTTCAACATAATGATGTCACATTGTTACCATGGCCACCAAGATCTCCCGACTTATCCCCAATTGAGCACGTGTGGGATATGATGGGTAGGAGATTGCTCAATTTGCAACGTCCTCCTCAGACTCTAGAAGCTCTTCGATAGGAGTTGGTGGTTGCCTGGAATGAGATACCACAGGAGGACATTGACCACCTGATCAGAAGCATGCCTAGGCGCGTTGGAGAATGCGTAGCACATCAGGGTGCATTCACACATTATTAAAGGTCAACGGGCTTTAAAGCAGTGCAATCATTTTGAAATTTTTATCATTTACTTATTATGCTTCATTAAGTACTTATACAAAATTTGATTAAAATAAAACCATTTAAACTGGGTGTTCGGATTTATATGTCACTTAGTATACTATGACCCAGGATCGCCTTACAGCGTTGTCGATGCTGTCCATTGAAAAGGAATTTATTTTGACCATGGAAAATTTCAACGGGAAAGTGATCGACAAATTGCTGCCAAGAAGAAGCGCAGGATCGAACCGAAATATAAAAAATAGGTAAGTTGGATTTGCAGAACACCTGTTTTGTTTTGTCACGAGCCGCCACTGATCTGTATAATGTTTAGAAGAATAGTGAATAAAAAATCTAGATTCTTTGTTTAGTTTTAATAAACAATAATGGTCACGACAGAGCTTGTACAGTAGTTATGAGTATAATTAATGAAAAATACACAAATGATAACTAGTGCAGTCTATTATAGTTCATGGTTTGTTCCTATATTTACACATACGAACTTTAACTGGTTCAAAAACTAAACAGGATACAGACTACGTATAAAATATCTATGATTGATTAACGTATTTCTGGAATATGCTTATCAATGCTAATAGAGACTTGGAATAAAGCTTGGACAATCTTTATAGCACATTCATTCTGTGATCCAATTTTTTGTACCGCCAAATTTAAGTAAAACTGCACATTTTTCTGGAATTGTAGAAAATTAATATTTTATGCATTCATGAAGAAAATATCGACGATTCGAGGTTTGAGGATCTATTTATTGTATTGTTGATATTATTGTCAATACTAAATATTTTTGATATACATGATGATGATATCCGTATGAATCCCAAAAACGATAAATAAGCGTTAATAATGATCAAAAAGAAAGTAACAAACATATTTTTTTCGACTTAATATTGTGTAATGTAACACTCCTTCTTATGACCCCAATTACATATAAAACTATTAACGATATAAGATCTCCATAGACTACGATTATCTTGTCAGACAATGCTCCATTGTAAGAACAAACATGCTAGCAAACAATATGTAAACGTTTATAATAACATCAATATGTATAATAATAATAATAGTCGTTACAATATAATAGCAACATGATATATTAAAAATGTGAACAGTTAACAATGTGATAATATACTCATTAATATTATATGTATCTACACAATAAAGCAGTTGGATATACATTTTTAAGTATACAGACATTTGCGCAACATTTATTATAGTTTAATTCCAATATACAATATGATTTACAAAACAATGAAGTCATGATTCATTGATACACAACGATTATTGTTCGACTGACAGTTTTCTTTCAAGTTAACTGTAGGAATTGATATTGAACTTGATCATTTATATTTGAAAACATGGATTGAAGACTCAATGTTAGCCGAGATTTCATAATGAAGCAAAAACGTAAAAACTGTAAACTTAAAAAGTTATTTGATATAAATTAGTTGCGAGTAATGAATTGGACTTTAAACAGTAAAACCGGTGTTTTTGTTACAATATTCCAACTTATTTGTGTATCTATATACCATGACTTTAAAACTTAGTCAATAATACATATATGGCAGTGTATCTTTTAAGCCCTTTTTAACTTTTAAGAGCTATTTATGACACGTAAAGCGTAGCCCACACTATGATGACAAATTTTCCCGATAATGCACCTCTTCGTAAAACTTGCAAAATTCACAACACTTATTTTACGTATTCAACTTTGGACACAAATTTCTGTAAGAACTGTGTCGGGTTATAAAGAACAATGGAACGTACAATTTTTTATAATTTCTTTTTGACGCATCTGCATATCTAGATGCTTTCGTAGTTTTTTTTGATCTACCTGCTACTATAGTATATCTATGACTACCGGACCTTTTACATATTTCGATGCTCATAAAATGATAAATAAGTTTTCAAATGATATGAAGGTATAAGGAAGTTGAACAATTTCATAAATAGCTCAGATGAACGTAACTCAAATTATTAGCGATGCACTTCGAAAAACCGAGTGTTGTGTTCAGACCGAGTCATTAAAATACTTAAAACTGACCGAGTACAAATCGGTACATCACAACAAATTACCATAAATCATTCGTGATATTGAATGTAATTACATCCAAATACAGATAACATCTTAATTCAATTAACATCAATGTTAAACTAGGTTTTAATTTAAAATAAAGTGTACCTCATTTACAATATGTCATCATACACTTCAGTCAAGTTTGTGCGATTGCGGCTACTATACTAACACTCATTGATACGTCTACATTCAACACACCATAGCCAAAAATGTCTATCTATTTTGCGAGTGGTAGTTATGATTTGATTCAATAATATATATTCACATAAGTTTTTCTTACCTGTGTATATCTGTTGCTTGAATACTAAAATGAAATCTACCTGATGACTACGCTCGCCGTCGTTCTCTTTTCGTCCATGTTTCAGAATATTTGAAATTTGAACGTTACACTATTTTACAGAAATTTGAACCAAAATTGATATAAATATTTTAAAATCATCGAAACACTTATGCGGCTACCACAAGTTAAAATAACGTGTTTGTAATATTACCAAAAATATTATTAATTCTGTCTATTTAGTGTCAAGGTTGACTGGTTATTAAACTCGAGAATATCTGAACACTATTTTCCTTAAGAGAGACGTAATGTGTAGTTCCAAATTTGTTGTAAAACAATTCGTTATTATAGACTTGTGGACGCCGTGTATGAGTGAGTAGATAAATATTTTACGCTTAGTCTAATTACTTAGTTTTCGAATTTATAAGTAAAAATATACATACTTTAGCACCCTGTAGCGACCAAGTTTATGGTTCTTGTAAGTACGAATGTATAAATAATATTATATATTTGAAATATTTTGGGTCCGTTTTTGATTTTTTTTTCCGTAAGCAATAAGAAGAGAAAATGGTGCTGCACAACCTTATAATGTGAATCTTGTTTCTTAAACTGATATGTTCTGTTTTTCACATGAATATGTATAACAATAAAAGTGACCGTACTGGCAATAACAGCGAAATCTGTATTTCATCCCACGAAAAATACTCCTCTTCTTCCAACTTTCAATCGAATACCAAACATGCATCCAAATACGACACAACTGATTCCAATGTTCCAGAGCTTCTCCTTCCAAATGCTCGCAATTCCAAGTCTAGCCTTCCTTGGCACCAATTTTTTTTCCTAGGCTGAGAAGACAACGCCTCAGAATCTGACGCTTTGTCTTCTTGGTAACACCTAAATAAAAAAAAGACGCATTTACTGACAGCTCAGTTTTTTTTTGGAAAAACGCTTAGACCTGTCGATTTTGTTTTCGAGGGGGACACAAGTTTGGCAAAAAATCACGTTAGCACGTGAAGCCCCCTAAGCTGGGGTGAGACCATCCCCAAAATCTTAAATTGAAAGGGAGGTCGAGTGATACCTTCTTTTAAAGGTTTTTCAATTCCCTTTAGAATGATATAAGTAGATTTGAAGATTTATTGATTTAAAGCTTGAATAAAACTAATACATCATCATTAGTGGAGATCAATAGATTTGACAGCAAAGTAATTTAAAAATGAAGAATGAACTGACCCGTTAGGCAAGTAAATGTTGAAATGTTCAAAATGATTGCACTGCTTTAAAGCCCTTTGACCTTTAATAATGCGTGGATGCACCCTGATGTGCTACGCATTCTCCAACGCGCCTAGGCATGCTTCTGATCAGGTGGTCAATGTCCTCCTGTGGTATCTCATTCCAGGCAACCACCAACTCCTCTCGAAGTGCTTCTAGAGTCTGAGGAGGACGTTGCAAATTGAGCAATCTCCTACCCATCATATCCCACACGTGCTCAATTGGGGATAAGTCGGGAGATCTTGGTGGCCATGGTAACAATGTGACATCATTATGTTGAAAGAAGTCTTTTTTTTATACTCCAACTACCATGAAGGCCTAAGGCCTAAGCACCCATTGGGTACCGTGGGGCTATAGGGGGATACATGGGAAAGGGGGGGGACTCTGGCGAGGGAACACGTGTGCATGCAACATGCACACATTCTGGCTCCGCCTACGAGATCCGCCGGGTGGTACCTCCGCGTTTATCAATACATCGAATAGCCAAAAAAATTTCTCGCGAAGCGTCGTATAGTCAGTCGTTCCTAAAATTGCGTCCTTTTTTTTATAGTTTTTGGGATGTTATGAACATAATTTTCGTATCCATTCCCAGACAAATCCACCAATACCAAATAACTGTTAGACTTCAAGGCTAGTTATTTATGGTTTTGTGAATATCTTTATACTCAGCTGGCACAATAATGTTTACTAGCCAGACAAATTAAGCGATGTAATTATCGAAAAACTTACCCTTTTCCACAAAAAAACACTCAAATAATGAACCACTCGGAAGTACACAGGAAGCACGCTATCATAGTGAAAGTTACAAGTGAAATGGATGCCAGCAAACGGGTTGCCGCAGGCCGGCTTGCTATTATCCCATTGGTCGCTCGAGGTCACACGCACATGCGCCGTACCCGAAAATATTTAATGAATATTTTCTAATGATTGAAAAGTAATGAATATTATAAAAGAAATAGTGTGTTTAACATATTTAAAAGATACTGAATAAATATTTAATAGAAATATTATATTACAAATATTTATTAAATATTTGTTTAAAAAAACAAATATTTAAGATAAAAATATTATTAAATATTAAATGAATATTTAATAAGTATTTCGTGCTATCGGGGTGAGTCTAACGCTGCGGAAATGAGTTTTTTGTATTGACAGGTGCTAAGTACATCGATGAGTTACTTGAAGTTGCTCGAAAGTGGTTGTTAATTTAATAAACGGACATGTTTGTATACCTAGGAAAATGACTTTGGCTATGCGTCCACCTCGTGGCAAACTTCCATGTAGTCGGGATGCAACATAATGTCCTTGATCATGTCCTTCAGCATCGAATATCGTACAACCATCGGGTAAATCTTCGCATTTGTGTATTCCGTCTGAAAAAACAAAAAAGAGATTAAGAATTCAATAGGCTTTATTCAGAAAAAAAGTTGATATACAATAAAACAAAATGAATGAATAAAGTATGAGCCGATAAGTGTAAAATAACACTTGTTTCGGCATAAAAAGAAACCGTATATCTGTATATCTATACTAAAAACTCATTGTAATCTCACATACATATACAGGGTGGCGCATCGAAAACGAAACAGACGCAGAAGTTTGGCAAAAAATCACGTTAACACGTGCAACCCCCTGGACGTGGGTGACACCAACCCTAAAATCTTAAATGGAAACTACCGAACTGAAGTACATTAATTTTATATCATTATAAAGGGAATTGAAAGACCTTTAAAATAAGGTATCACTCGACCCCCCTTTTATGTTTTTAGGGTTGGTGTCACCCCCGCCCAGGGGGCTGCACGTGCTAACGTGATTCTTTGCCAAACGTGTGTCCCCCTTGAAAACAAAATCGACGGGTATGAGCGTTTTTCCAAAAAAAGAAACTGAGCTGCCAGTAAATGCGTCTGTTTCGTTTTCGATGCGCCACCCTGTATAGTATATCGTAAGCTTAAATGGTATTAAAATAAGAATGATTAAAACGCTGTAATACCGCACAAATAATACTAACAAAAAAAAGCTAATAAAAAGAACTTATCACACAGATATAACAAATATACAGGTAGTTGATGAATAGTAAGCAGATGACATATCGTTTTATAAATCTATGTAACCTGATTAATACACATTCATAATTACACTACAATAGATTTTGCTAATGTAGTAAATTTTCTAGTGATCCTCGTGGCTGGTTCAAAATGAATTGCTTCAACGCTTTCTTGATTGGCGCGAAGTTGTTGATGCGTTGCAAGACTGTTGTACAGTATGGGAGCAATATAAGTATATGAACGCTGTCCTAAACACTTTTGGAAAAATGGTACGACATGGTGGTGTTTTTGCCGTGTTGAGTATGGCTATATTGGAAGCAAATAAAAAGCATAGATCGGTAGTATGTAGATCTAAGAGGAATTTATCCGATGCTTAGCAACAGAAAGATCGTGATGGTTTTCCATCAATTTTTCTCGGTTCTTCTTTGATACTCTTCTTGGCAACTTTTAATTAGTTCCTCGTGTAATTGAGAAATGCGGCGGTTCTTCTGTGCAGGCAGATCGCGGATCTAAACCGATTAAAACCGATTAAGTGATGCACACTAATGGAACTTTATCAGCTTCCGAGCCTCTGATGGAAAAATTACCAACTGCCGTGCCATCTGCGATACTAGTCTCTATTTTAAATACTGTTAAATCCCTATTGCGAATCCAAAGCGGTTCGCGGATTAGGTGCAATGAAAAAAGTATTACGGAGTTTTTAGCTTTGCGCTTTTACAGTTCATGAAAATAAACAAACAAAAATACACTCGGACTTGACGGCTTTTAATGGAAAATCGAAAAACCTACCTTTAATTGTCTTATGAGGTTCCTTAAGCCGGAGTATTTTTTCAGTAATCTATAGAGATCGTTCGTCATCTGCGTATTTTCAGCATCTATTTGTGAGGTAGTCATATCTGTAACGACACAAACGTTATGAGTAAATTGAAGTAAATACTTATGAAAGCTTGTCCCATAATCAACGTAACATTTGAATTTGCCACCATGTTTGCAGTAAATTGTAGGCAGCCCGGAACAAATCACAATTTGACAGCTGAGAGGTTAGGGTTAGTAAAAATGGAGCGTTATACGATACAACAACGTTTTCATTATTGAACATTATTTAAAAAATAATGAAAGTTTAGCGTCCGCATTTCGAAATTGTATAAGGTACCTGTACCAATAAAAAATAATCTAAAGACTGTGTTTTCTGTTTAATTCCAAACTTGCGTTAATTTTGGAACACCCTGTACAAAGTGATTCATATAACAAAAATAACAAGAAGCAATTCCTATAAGCCTATACCTATATCCTTAAATATCCGCTTACGAAGGATGCTTAACTAATAATTTCAAAATAGAAGTAAACTATATATTTTTTATAGTTCCTCATTATTGTTTTTTATTTATCCTGTTTGTAAAATGGTTGAATGAACTAACTAGAAAAGGATTACTATTTAAATTAGAAACATGAGACACATAAACCTGCGTTCTATATACAGGGTGACTTCGAAGTTGAGTCATTTATTTTAACAGTGAGTAGATCTGATCAAAAGAAATGTTTTTTTCCTTTAACATTTTTGTGGTGAAATTAAAGTAACAAAGTTATAGCCCTTTAAAAGTTTGAGTACCGCCCTGTCTCAATAATAATATTATGTGCTCGTGTTTGGCAACAACGGATATAATCCGCCTTATCGGTTCATCGCATCGGAAACAAAAAAGCGAAAGAATTTGAAACGTTGATCACGATGTTTTTATTCAGTCAATGTGTCAGTCGCTAACGCGTGAGTGAATAGTGGTGCTTGCTGCGTGGCTCAAACGAAATAAAAAATGGCACATGTTTATGCGGATCGGTTTCCCAATCGAGTGCAACCAACCCCTCGTGTCTTTGTTAATGTAGTACAACGGGCTCGTGAATCAGGTGACTTAAGACCTCACAGGGGAGGGCATGCTGGTGCTCCAAGACCTCACGATCAAATACAGGTCCGCACTGAAATACTTGTCGGGAGGATACTTTATAAAACAAGGTAATTTTTTTTATTTTTTCACACATATTTTGGTTTATCTTCCTTCTACAATCATTATCTGAAAATTAATGACTCAACTTCAAACTTTTCGCAAAATAATACTTACTTTCTAATCTTTCGATTCTCTCTCTCTTATCCTGTGCTTCCTCTGCCAATTTTGCAGAAGTTTTGACGCTTTCCCCTGATTTCTGAGTTTTTTCTAATATGGTACAGGCTCTCATCACAAATGCTGGTACGGTTTCTTGCTTTTCCTGCTTTGGAATATCTACTAAGGTCCAGTATTGCGTTTCTAACCGAATGACTTCCTGAAAAATAAGTTTTTTATCAATATAATTTCAGATACTACTACGTGAGAGAAGTCCTTATTCATTTTACTTTATTATTCTTAAAATGTAATTGTTTTATAATGCCCCTCAAAGCAGACATGTCTTCTAGACATTTACTCTTTTGACGTGTGTAAACAGATTTGTGTAGTAACAGCAATACATTATTATTATTATTATATTAAAATCCGTTTACCATGCTATTGGCAGGGAAGTATTGTAATCGCGAATAATTTCGAAAATGGGATATTATGTATTTTAAACGGTGTGAATGTGATTGATATCCATACCATGAAAAACCCGTCAATAACTTGGAAAGCACTGCTCGAATTTTGATGATGTTTTCACGCAAGGCGTTGGAAATTGGTGCAGTGCCACCGGAAGTGGGGTAAAAAGAAGAAAGACAATCAAAATCTTCTAAACTTCGTTTTTTGACGTTTCGATGGCTTCTAATCATTTTTGCGCTGTTGGTAAAAATCTATAGATTAGTTGTATGGGCATATTTGACAAACTTGGGTTTAACCCCTTCACATCCAGTACTCCACATATGGATATTTTGAATATGCTCTCTGGATACCATAATATCCACATATGGATATCATTGTTAATGGCTTATGTTATGGAGCAGGGAACTGGTATGGCGAGCTGCTATCAATTAGACCGACTGGTATGGCATACAAGCCATCCCCACCCAAATTTCTTCAATATCCAAAATATTTCCACAGAAATATTTTTACTGTTAGTACATAAGTAGTCACGCTGGTACGCGGTCGTGTATGCCTCTAAATTACGTTTTGCCGGGAAAGTCTGTTTTATCGTGTTTCTCAGTGTTGTTTGGATGTAAAAGTTTTATTTATCAAAAATGAATGTCCAGGACTATTATACAGATACTGATGACGATTCGGAGTATGAGTTAAGTGATAATTCGGATATGAGTGACTCTGACGAAACATATTCGGGGACCGATGACGATGAACTTGTCGAAAACGTGACCATGGACGAATGGCAAGTTTTAAGTGATCCTTTTTTCGATCAGGTTCCTAGAGCTACGCAAAATTTTTCTTCTGAATATACTTTTCACCCCGCCATTGATATGGAAGAGTGCAGAGATCCAGTCAACTGTTTCGAATGTTTTTTAAGCCCAAATATCGTAGCGAAATTAAGTGAGTGGACGAACAGAAGAGCTGAAATGTACTTTGAACAAAATACAAATACAAGGACAGTTTATGGCGTTCAGTGGAAGAAACTAGAAAAAGAAGAGATGTACGTTTTCATCGCGCTTCATATTCTTACTGGATTAGTAAAGTGCCCTCGCATAACAGATTACCGGAGTAATAACATTTTGTGCGCTGGTCCAAAAGTTTTCAATAAGTCTATTATGAGTCGAAACAGGTATCTTTCTATACTCAAGTTTATTCGGCTTTCGCCACCCGAAGCAGCAAGAAACAATGCCCCTCTAAGCCGACTTGGAATTTATATGTCCATGCTCAAAGACAACTGCAAGACGTTGGTTGACCCTGGACCAGTGTTTGCAATAGATGAACATTTGATGCATTATAAAGGCAGATTGCACTTTCGTCAATATATTAAAACAAAAAGAAATCGATCTAGCATAAAACTTTTTGCAATGTGCCCAAGCGCTCCACATTTGCGCGGATATACTTGGAACTTTTGTTTGTACGTAGGGAAAGACAATTTCGATGTATCCCATATTCCAGGCACCGGATACCTCACTGTTTCTGAAAGAATTGTCGTGCATTTAGCTCAAAATATACTGAACAGTGGCCGAGAAGTTATTCTAGACAATTGGTATACATCCGTGCGGCTTTCGCAATTTTTACTTACCCAAGGAACCTATTTGACTGGAACTATAAGAAGCAATCGTGGAGTTCCCGCTCAGTTAACTAGAATTCCACTAGAAAGGTACCAATCCTGCTTCGTACGGAAAGACATGCAACTGCTTGTACGATATAAGGACAAGAAGGATGTTTACTTGTTGACAAGTAAGCATAGTGCAGGGTTTTTTGAAAAATCTCGCTATATGGTAGGCGGTAAACAAGTGCATTTTAAAAAACCTGCCCACATTGAATTTTATAATCAAAATACATATGGGCTCTGTTGACGCTGTCGATCAAGATCTGGAACCTTACAATTCTTTACGAAAAAGCTATACTTGGTTTACAAAAGTGGGCTTTCAATTAATGCTTCAGATGCTTCTAAATTCTAAGGTTTTATTCTGTAACGCTAAAGATGATTTAAACATTTCGATGTATGACTATATAAAACTGTGCTGTAATGGTATTTTGCACAAATACAGTGAAGGATATCGCTGCATGACGGATGCTTCTTCATGTTATAATCAACCTTCAACTTCGAAAAAAACACAAAAAGAACACGTTATGGTTAATTTACCAAAGGAAGATGGAAAAAAACGGGCATTGCGAAAGATCTGCGTTATTTGCCGAAAACACAACCAAAGGAAACTAACACGAAATATTTGCATTGAGTGTCCAAATAAGCCAGGGCTTTGTTGTCCGTAACATTTTCAAGAATACCACAAATGAACTTTATATTTTAAGCGGTTTACCAATGTTACGTTCTACTAGTTTATTTTATGTAAAAAATATGAATAAAGCACTTATGTTCACAAAATGTGACTTTGATTTATTTTTACATGGATATCCAAATATGGATATTATGGTATGCCACTATTATCCAAATGGTGGATATACTGGTATAGTCATAAAATATGAATCACTGTCGCCATGTTGTTTTTGACTTTCATGAAATATTTTAACTGTGGTTAAAGATGTATGTCATTATGTAATCTTAATATTTCATTTTCGATTTTTTTTCCGTCTGGTATGTGAAAGTGCCTTTTTAAATTGCACCTGGATGTGAAGGGGTTAATTTCTTCGTTATGCGTGTTCTCAACCATGAACCGAAGAACCCTACTTGACCGCATTATTTTTCTGTTACTACAACATTTTGCTTACCTTAATCATAGCCTTGAGCATGTTGTACCTCTGGAAAACGTTGTGCAAGGTCTTGCTCTGGTTATATTTCCCCATAAGACCGACAAGTGCCTTTTTCGCAGTATCGTACGATTCATCCATCCTCACCCTGACTGCCCTCAATCTCTCGTTGATCTCGATCACCTCCTCTTTCGTCGCTCCGGTCGCTGTGCCTTCGTCTTTCACGTCCTGAACTATCCTACGTACGCTCTGCGTGAATTTTCCCACCAGATTTGACGATCCTGCAATTTTTAAACGAATCCAGGTCATTACAAAAGACCGATCTCGTCGCCGCAGGCTACCGAATTCCTTCAAATGAACTAGAGTCAATTCTTAAAGAGTTCTACTGTGACTTGACGTAAACATCTCAACAGCAACACGTCAGTCCGCCAGAAAAAACAATGGACTGAAATGAGGTATTTACTGAGAAAGTGATACATACTAGAAAATTTGATAAATCACGTGTAATTGAAGATAAGGAGAAATTAATTTTTCCCGAAACCTACTTAAAATAGAATTTATTATACGAGATTATTCAAAAACCTCTAGATTTTCTGGCAATATACAGGGTGGCGCATCGAAAACGAAACAGAGGCATTTACTGGCAGCTAAGTTTTTTTTTTGGAAAAACGCTCAGACCTGTCGATTTTGTTTTCGAGGGGGACACAAGTTTGGCAAAAAATCACGTTAACACGTGCAGCCCCCTGGGCGGGGGTGACACCAACCCTAAAATCTTAAATGGAAAGGGGGGTCGAGTGATACATTATTTTGAAGGTCTTTCAATTCCCTTTATAATGATGTAAAATACATAAGATTCAGTTCAGTAGGTTTGAAGATTTATTGATTTAAAGCTTAAAGTAGACTTTAATAGGTACATCGGATTAGTTTGTATTACTTTTTAGAAGAAATTTGATTAAAAGAATTTACTTAATAAATAATTGCTTTTCTTCAATTCGCTCTTGGTTTGTTTATAATTTTGTTGTTGAAAATAGCTATTCGAGCGTTTTTTTGTGGCAAAAAAGTTATTTCTTGAAGAAAGATAAGGAAATATCTCCTATTTATTTTAAATAGGAATTTAGTACATAGTTTGCGATTGATTTGACCAAACTTTATTGCTAAAATAACTTTTAACGCTTTATTACATAAATTACCGAGAGAGAGTTTACGGCACCATTTTGAATAAAACATTTTCAAACGTGCTTTTCAATATCCAACATCTATCTTCTCCAAACAAATCGAAGCTACGGGCTTGGCGATTTTTCCGCGAGAAAGCCCAGACATCGGACATTTGGAACATCGCTTTTTTATTTCTGTATTCCTTAGTTTGGATTTTTCAAATTTCTTGACAAAATGCCACTTTTTCAAACATGACCCTCTTTGCTTTCGATTTTTTCATACTTTCGATTGAAGTTTTGCGCTTTTTGTGCTTTTGAAACGCTCTTTCGCACTTGTTTAAGCGTATTCGTAAATTATTTATAGTTATAGTAAATATTGTGTATACACGTACAAATATGTTAGGACGCGGGAACATATCTAAATCAGATAATTATGTTGTGAAACAATCAAATTGCCGCAAGATATGAGGTGCCTGGTGGCAGGGCGCAAAGCAGAGCAATAACAGAGAGTGAAGATCAGGAAGTGTGTGGTGTGATGGTGTGGCTATGGTATATGCCGCTAGCCGTGCACGGTACGCGCCTCATGTTTGAACAACACAATTAATAGTGGCTCGCCATGATAAACGGCGTGTTGTATCGCTTTGACCTGTTCCGCCGCCGTAATGCCATGCCATCACAACACATCAATATCCAACTAATTAAAGCAATTTGCCCAACCACCAGCTTTGCATGGCATCTACCACCGTCACAACCATTATCATACAGGACTACTGTTAATTATGCTGTATCGGTATAGCACATATACGTATGTTACGGTTAAACCCCGAATCGCGGTTACATCTAGGCTAGAACTAGGTGTAGGAACAAGCAGAACACCAACGAGAAGAATTCAAAAATAAATTAGTAGGATGTTGAAAATATCTAAAATTAACGACTTCAGCAGCTCTGTTCACGAATCATAAATCGATATTTTTAATAGTGAGGTTATACGCTTGTAGAACATTGGTAGGTATTATTTATTTATTTATTTATTTATTTATAATCCATACACTGCCTGAACAGAGTGTTCCAATTAACAGGCAGGGAAAAAACAAAAAGTGATACAAAAACAAAAATGTAAGCAGTATAAACATAAACATAAATTATCCAATTGTTAAAAATAAACTCTTGAGATTGATTTTGGAGGTACTAAACGTATCAAGTTCACTTACACTGTCACAGACATTACACATAACATAAAGAGAAAATAACAATAAATTTGTCCGCGGAACAGGTAAATAAAATGAATTGTTACCACCATGACGAGTACGCAAATCGGGAACGCGTAGAGAGATCCTGTCTAAAAGAAAAGGGCAATCAATTGTTCCATTCAACAAATTACATAAAAATTTAGCAGCTAACAGGTATTATGGGGATGAAACTCATATGAGCGAATGGGAAACAAGACAGTGTTGCGGGTGCACCATATGACAACCATGTCGCACCCTGAAAAAATTGCGGCTTATCGACAACTGACGTTGTCTGATTGGTCAGATTTAAATTTCCGGCGGGTTTCTTCCTGTGGCTGTGCTTTGCAAAAATAACCTTACTTTTTCCACAAACCATTTTCGTTGTGCGTCACAAACATTTTATTTTGATTAAATAAAGTCCCTATTATGCTATTTGAGACATATGCCTTTTGTTCAGAGTTGTGAAGTATAAAAATGTAAGTACCAAAAGCTGTATATAGCTGTAAATACTATAATACAAACTCCAAATCAAAACTGTTTCTTTGTTAAGGTGATCCAAAGTGATCCCAGTCAGTAGCCGAGCTTCTGCAGATGCTGAGGAAGATCAGAGATCCAGCGGTTACTCATTTGAGGAGTGTAATATTTGAAGATCATACCTGTTGAAATCACCACATAACTTTTTGAACAGTGGAGCACTACGAAATGTTCAGCTGCCGGTGTCAATCCCTGAGGTCCTGAGAACTATCAGAAGTTCGAAGATGACTTGTGATCTAACCAGAAGGCACAGCTCTGAAGGATATTTGCAGACCATAACATTTGTAACTTTTTATATGACTCAATAACCAGTTATGATTTATACTGCTTTTTGTCCAAAACAGTTTCATACTTCATTTTAAATCATCTATTCTTAGAGCAGCAGAGTTAATATGCAAAGCTCAATATAATTTCAGTGAAATCAAAGCCGTATGTTATTGAATAATAACGTGGGTGCCCCTAGGACGGTGTCAGATGAGCCGTGGTCTCTTCTGTGAATCCACTTTGACTTTAAAATTTGCATATTTATCATGGTTTGTGTACAAGGATGGAACAATTTCACAAAAAATTATGTCTTGATGATGTCGGTATCCATGGACAACAATATTATTATAATAAAAAAAGAAATCTGAATCGTAGTAGCATATCAACACAGTTCAATTTTTTCCTAATTTTTGATTTATGCAGGTGCCAACAAAGGCTGGAGAATGAAAACATCTGAACCATAATACTGATTTGATTGTAGAAAAATGTATGAGATTTATATAATAAATATATATTTAGGTATTTGCAGTATATGTTTTTCATCTGAACCTTTCCAGATTAGTAAGTAGATATGAGTGATCTTAGAACATCTTGTGTTATTCACGTTGCTATTTTAATATAAGAAAAGCACTTATTCGTCAAGATAGCGCAAAATTTTAATTACACATGCTGCTATAAGATCCCCCATATCCCACTAAATTTCTATATATAAAAGTATAGCAATCTCAGATTTATTTGTAGAGCTGGCAACGTTGCGGGATATTAATGCACAATCTGGCAACCGTGTCGCACCCTCAAAAAATGGCCGCCGACAATCACACAAGTCACCGTGTTGCCAAGTGAATAGCATGGAATTAAACCTTCTTCAGTGTATATGTTTTGTGGGTAGGTATACGGAACCGATTTCACAACAAATTCCATACGTAGTTGTGAATCCTTCTATAGTTACTAGTTACAAACAGGTTTGGAGGCTGTTTTGGAAGAAAATATGTCTCGACTTTTATATTGTTTATTCATATACTCCGTATTACACCAAGGAAAAACGGGACAGGTTGTAATGCCCATCGTAATTTTTTGTAAGTAAATTAAACTTGATGATTCACCAGCAAACTTCTTGTGCATAATAGAGTTTAAATGCTACCGATAAGTAAAGGGTGTAATAGGATCGATAGTTGTTGTCGCGTAAACACAAACAAAGATAAAACATTGACATTGTCGCCACAGCATGATTTAATCATTATGTTGCCAAAAAAAGTTCTGTTTCTAAGGTCACTGAGTATATCATTCATTCATTTGACTAAAAGGTTGTGATGAAAAAATCGTGTCAGCAGCCAAGTGAGTCATGCTAAACGTCAGCGGAAGAGGGCGACGCGGAAATTAACAAAGGGCGGCCGCGACGCAACAAGTTGGAAAATCAACAGATTACAAAAGGGGATATTGGGACGGTAGAGGCGGTTAAAGAGGGGGTGAAACAGACGAAAGGCGAGGAGCCAACAGCGCACCGTGCCAAAGCCACCTGGATCATTCTTTCTTTTGTTTCGGTTTCAGGGATTTTTTGCAAACCGTGCCGCCGCCGTCTAGCAGAAAATAGCACCGCCGAACGTGAAACGGACAAATCGATAACAAATTTCCTAGTGGCAGTAGTGGCGCGCCGTATAAAAATCGGATTAAGATAAAGTTAAAAAAAAAACGGCGACAAGTAGGTTGACTTTGCACTTCGTCATCAGATTATCTTTGACCCAAGTTGGTTACATTCGACCTAGCTACAAATATGAATAACAAACAAATCAGATGGGTAAAGACAGTCAACTAGGAAATTTTTTTTACAGAAACTTGCATTTTTTATCGAATAAGAAATAAGAAAATCATACATTTCAAAAGCGTAACTTTAAAACCTTTTTGTAAGTTTTCAACATTTTATTACTTATTATGAACTATTGGAATGTCCGCTATGCGACGATAACAAAAAACTCAAAATCAAACATGTAGTTTTTTTGTATTTCAAATTTAAACGTCTGAAATCGGAATAAAAAAAATCAAATAACTCAAAAACGGTTAACTTCTGGATAGGACATTATAGGACAAAATCGGTTGCTTTTG